CTGTCCTTTCAGTGATTGGGCTCAGTCTGTTCTGTTGCCTTTTCTTGATTCCTTTGTTCCTTCATACAGTTGATCGGGCTGAACCCAGTCACCTACTGAAAATGGAAAAACAGAAACCTAAGTATATCTTGGAATGAAGTCGCTGTGGTTGGGCACTTACATAGAAATAAAAAAAGCAAGAATTCAGATTTCTTTAGCCTCGTTGTAACAGCCGTTGCACCTGTTACAGGAACTTCAGCTTCTGAGGCCACTGTGACAAGATGCCATTGATCATGTTATGTTTTTTATTTTTTCATCATTTTTTAGAGATTCTCTCCTAAATTGTTGATGTCCCCCCCCAAAAAAAATCAGACCCTGAGACAGAAGTAATTTGATTCTTGTTTTTTTCAAAAATCATAGAATTGGTTTGGGTGGTAGGGAGCTAAGGCTGCAACTGTCTCTAGTGAACACGGCACAGATGGTTTGGGGAAAATAATTTCATGTTAATATTTGGGTAAATCCTTTGATCATTGTAAACCCAGTGTATCAAAAAAATTAGATTTTTTGGAGCAGTATGTAACATGGCTATACCTCATGTTGTATTTATAGGATAGGTGTTTTTACCTGAATTCAACAATAATTCCATGCAAATTTCAAGATAAAGACCTGACTCAGTAAAGACTTTGACAATCCTCTGACTTACTATTTTCTTATGTCATTGTCCCCAACAGTCAATGAGGCAGAATACCGAGGTAATCCCCCGGTCAAAGCTGTATCACATTGCAACTGCTATCCGGCACCACTGGAAGATGATTGCTCGCCATGTCCGTGATAATGAGACACTGGAAGCAGATTTTGAAGCCATCATATTGAACCATGCAGACCCAGCCAAACAGGCTCTACAGATGCTGCTTCAGTGGAGGGAAAGATGGCCCAATGTGATATGCACTTGGGAGAGTTTACATAATGCTCTGTGGGATTTGAACCTCGATATGATAGCGAAGAAATGCAACCAGGTGTATTTGACGTACAAGTATGAAGGATCCCCTCTGCGGCAAGGAAGAGTCAAGCTGGTGAGAATAAGTTCCGTCTTGGTGTCACCACACCAACTTTGCATTTTCATCATAAATGATTTGCCCTGCTCATCGGATCCCATTTCAAGCTCACAGAAACCTGTGTGTGCAAAGATGTATGTAAGTTATTTTTTTCCCCTTATATGCCCCGCTTGGTGCTGTAAGGGGTCCGCTGTGTTTGCGTCATCGCAGGGGGAGGGAGTTCCAAGCATGATGCAGGCCATTAACCCGTATGGGTTCAAGTAGTTTTTCCACCGTGATGGAGGATTGACATGTTCACTTAGCTTCATGTTTGGTAGATGGGTTAGATTTGGAGATTATAGTTTTCTCCACTTTATTTAACTCTACAATGCAATGTACCATCAGAGATGTAATATACACAGAAATGGATAGCAGCTAGATTCTAATGCATGAAGTTCTGTGATGTCATCGAAGTGAAATTTTGTGTAACTACATGCTGCACAATAACATTTGTGCGACTCTTGAGCTACAGAGTTCGGCTTCTGAACAGGACAATTTTAGAGGTCACCATAACTTTTCCTGTTGTAAGAACGTTTCCTTCTTTTGTCGAAGCAGTTGGGTGTAGAAGAACCGGCTTTTATTCCAGTCGGCACTGATGTAAAAGCCAGGTACAGAGGCGCTCTCTGTGATGCCAAGGTGAAAACTATTGAGAAGGCTGTGCAGTGCAAGGTGAGTGTCCTACGTTGTGAGTGGAATCCCATATTGTGGAGCTGGTAAGAGATATGCTAAGAAGCATCATGCCAAGGAGAGGCAGCAGGCCAAATGCCATGAGCCTCATAGTGCTTGCTACAAGCTCTCAGTCTATGGTTTTAGTATCCTCATTCCTTGAGTGCTCTTTGTAAAGAAATCTGTCTTTGTGTAGATGTTTCGTTGTTCTTGAACTGTGTACAGGCTTGGATCAGTCAACAGATTCATAAACCCAGAGGTCTGTATCATTGTGGTGCCAAGCAAAACTGTTGCTTTACTATGCCATACAAAAAAAGCGTTTGTAAAGATCATACATGCATTTAGACTGAGAACCTGTTCTGGCTAAGTACAGGTATTTAATTTACATAACTTTGGTGCTTTAACTAACAGGGTTTTGTGCTTACAAACCCAATAATATACATTGTACGGCCAAACCTCATTAATAAGAGCACTGTTGATACGAGATTCTGCTTATACCAAGTCCAAATTTCATGTTTTTCATTCCTGATAATACAAGGTTCCTGTTATAACAAGGTCATTTGCCAAGTCCAAAGGACCTCTTATTAACGAGGTTGGACTGTATATATTATTTTCCTGACTATTGAAACAAATTCTAAACTTGCTCCATGTACAGTACTTTTAGACATACTCCAATTCTATTTGAGCATCCTAGGTCTGAATATATAAACATATCAACAGTTTTTTCACTACTGACGCATTGTCATGCACATTTTTAAAAAAATTCTGATATTCGGTCTGTGTTACTTTCGTATACAAATGTACCATCATTGATAAATATTGCTCTTTTATGCTTTGTGGGCTTGTCGGGTGAAACAGATAAAACACACCCTTGAAATGGAGTTTTGTCGGTTAAATAGGATGTCTGGAACCATCCAACCTTCAGGTCTAAACGTCAGATATTTAGTTGCTCATTAAGCCACAGTGGACAGATTTGAATATCCTGCATAATATCTGTATCCTGCATAGTATGCTTGTAGATAACATTATTTCACTGGTATTCTGTTTTCAGGTCAGGTTCTTCAGTGATATTGCCAACGAAGTGCTTTCTGATGATTGTATCAACGGGGACCTCAAGGTAATGGAACATGCCATGGTGTAAAAAGAAAAGCAAATCCTTAAAGAAACAAGAGCAAAGATTTTGGAGCTAAGCTATTGAACTTGGAAAAGGGCATTTCTTTGGATTATGTCGTACATATCCTGCTACTCTTGACTGGTCTTATGAAAAGACTCTGGGTTAGACTCGACTGTAATACTGACCCTTAAACTATAAATACTTATAATGAGTAAATCAAGATAATAGAGAGAATGTTTCTGTGTGAACAGGAAACATCTACATTTCCAATTCAATTTCTTTTGCATATATGCTGTAGAGTGCTGATGTTTCAATTATAGAACCAAGAAACTTGGTCAGGCAGTTGCTTAATGTGTTTTTATCTTTGCAACAAACATATGCATGTATATGAAAACCATCTCTCTTGTTTTTTAATTGTAAGGTTGGAGCAATGGTGGAGGCCAGACATCCTACAGAAAACACCTGGATGGATGGCTGGATCGTGAAAGTGACTGATAACAGTATATACACTGTGGGTAAGTCTGTCCAAACAGGATTCGAACCCAGTACCTCCAGAATGCTGTGGCAGTTTTCAGCCAACCAAACCATCCAGTTGTTCATGGTTGATAGCAATGTTGTAGTTGGTGAGGCCCCTTAACCACTTCCTGCCAGGGCATTTATCAATGTTGATGATGCTGGGGCGGGATATTTATCATTTTTTTCTGTTTTCAAAATTCTTTAAAAATTCCTATCTTCATTTATTGCACACTTACAAACACGTGGAGGCATGTTTGGTGTCCCGCTCTAGCCTGACAGACAAAATCTATTGACGCCCGAGTATTTCAGCCAGGTCTGCAGCCGTGTAAAAAGAGCCCAGATTTTGTGGTGTTACGTAATATTCTTTTTTTTCACGAACCTGGCTCAGTGCACTGCTGACCTCTTTTCAATAAGGGCCAGATTAGCATGCAGTGGTGCTGTGTGGCTCATCACTGCAGTGGTGGAGCACTTTGTCCCCGATGGTAAAACAAAGCACGATTATCTTGAATTTTGAGAGTGAAAAAATGTCAGTAATGCCTAGGAGCCTGGTCTTTTGTTCCGAGTACGGTCTTTTGTTACAAGGCCCTGTTCCCTTTGTCTAAGTTCGGAGACCCCGGCCACGCATATAAAGCATACGTGTCCGGATCCGGTGTCCCCGGCAGGAAGTGGTTAAGACCATCATGAGACTCCACAAGACATCCAATTTTCATTCCAAGGAACTGCTAGCAAAGGCCCAAAGCAAAGTGCGTCTTTCAGTACAAACTTGCTGAATTTTTGTCTCTGATACTTGTGTTTCTGGCAGTGTATGACGATGGAGACGAGAAGACATTAGGGAGGTCATCGCTGCATTTGCACGACAAAAATAAGGTATGTAAACAAGAAACATGAAAAAAATAAAGACCTTATTTGAGCTCTTATTTGAACCAAACAAGTGGTCTTATCATGAAAAGACAGACAGGATAATCTTTGGTAGTATGCTTATTCTTAGATCTGAAGCTTGACCTTTAACTTCACTGTTAGTGCAATGATGCAAAAGTACTACTCATTTTGTACTACAAACCAAATACTTAAATATTTAGAATGTATTACCAAGCACTATACAAAGGTCAGTGACTGTCTCATATCTGAGGCCGCCCTCTAGCAACATATTGAGGATTTTTGTGTGTGGGTGTATGTGAGTTTGTTTCTGCATTCAATTGGGGACCCTGAACAATAGAGGACAATAAGGTCCCCGATTGACAGAGGGTCCTCGATTGACAATNACAATAGGGGGTCCCCAGTTGCAGGCAAATACACACTTGTGTGAGTGTGTAAATGCCGTCAGTCTTGGACCTATAACAATAGGGGACAATAGGGTCCACGGTTGCTGAAGAGTCCACGGTTGGAAAACGTGTACAAAACATAAGAGAGGTCTTCTGAAAAAGTTAAAGTATGAACAAAAGAGGAACAATAGGGAGTCCACGATTGAAGGCGTTTACACACTTATGTGTGTGTTGTTTGTATATTGTTTTAAAAATTGAACTTTGTTTTCCATACTTTCATGAAAGGAGCAAGGAAAAGTCTCTGGACAGAAACGGGTTATTCATAATAGTTTCAAAATGATGATGTCATTCAACTGGAAGTTATCGTAGGAAAACTTTTGGGGAAAGATACGTTTTCCCACCTTATTTAACTTGATCATACAGTTTACATCAAAATAGGAATCTCCCTGGTGCCATTATTTGTGTCAATGGTGCTACCTGTGACATGATCAAAGTGCAATCGTGCAAATACACTTTCATGTATATGTCTTTTCATTTGTGCTATTCTGATTTGACATTCAGCAAATTATTGGGATTTGAGGCCTCTGAACTCCAAGGAGGAGAGAAGATCAAGGTCCCAAGATTGGATCATAGGAAAAATTGACTTGATTTGCCCTCACAGCAAAGTTCTTTAGAGGCACGGGTGAGGTACAGGTGTTCCCAATCGAGGAATAGTGTCGTGTTGGAGGACATGGAGGCACAGATCCAGAGTGGTAGATAGGTACATGTGAAAGGACAATGTCTGAAGTTGTGTTCTGGTAGACACTGGACTTGATTTTGCCCTTAGAAATCCTTTGAGGGACCTTTTCTTCAATTAAAGCTTTATTTTCTCTCTTCAAACCAGATGCAGAGAAGAGAGTTACCTTTTCTCCCAGTTGGTACTGCAGTCAAGGTCATGTACAGAGGTGCTTTGTGCGAGGCCAAGGTGAAAACCATTAACAAGTCAATGAAGTGCAGGGTGAGTTGCATATGTTGTCACTAGAAGCCAGTTTTGTGTGGTTTGGTGTGGGTGTTTTCAATTGAAAAAAATCTTATTTATTGACAATTTACATTTAATACTGATACTTTTTCTGCACATGCCAAAATTTCTGAAATCCAGTGTGTGTCCACAAATGTCCAATTGTGAAGAAAACTTTACTTTTTTCACTTCATGCGATTTTCAGGTAATTATATGTAAAAGATACAAAGTACTCTTAAACCTGGAAGATGTCTTTGAGACAGGATGTGTACAACCATCCAACGTTGACATTTAAAAGACAGGCATTTAATTGCTTATTAAACAACAATGAATAGATTTCAAAATCCTGTGTAATGTTACCCGACAAGCCCTTAATAACATTATTTTTCCTTTCTTCAGATCAGCTTCTTTGATATCATTGCTGACGCAGTTGTCACCGATGATTGCATTAAGGGGGACCTCAAGGTGAACACACAATGCTTTAAGAGTAACACAAATGTTTCAATTATAAGAAAGAAGTATGTTTTGATCAGAGTATTCAAATGAACTGGGACAAAGGCATTTCTTTGTACTGCGTAATTATTCAACCTGTTACTTATGACTGGTGTTATGGAAGAACTTGCGAGGAACTCAACTCTAACTCAGATCTTAGACTATCAATCTCCAGAATGAGTAAATCAATATGACATACGGCCTATTGCCATGTGAACTGGAAATCTTTTGCCATTGTTTGGTTTCTTAGGATGCATGCCGTAGAGTGCTGACATTTTAAGTTACACAACCAAGAAACCTGGGCAGACAGTTTCTTAGTGGGGTTTTTTCCCAACACATTTTGATAGTGATCTCTTTTTTGGGTTTTTATCAGGAAGGAGCAGTGGTTGAGGTCAGACATCCAACGCCAGACACCTGGATGGATGGTATGATTATGAAGCTGGCTGATGATAGTACATACACTGTGGGTAAGTCTGCCCAAACAGGATTCGAACCTAACACCTCCATAATGCTGCGATACTATCGCAGGAAGCTATCGCCGATAGCTTCCTGCCATCCAAGTCATCCAGCTGCGGTTGAGATACCTTAGAAGACCATGACAAACCCTTCCCCCTTCTCTAGTCTCAAAAGTACTCTTCTGCCATTGGCCTTGTGTCAGGCCCTCTGATGGTCTTGACAAGACAGTGGTTGATGTATTTTTCCAAAGACAGAAGTTTGAAGCCAGGATGCAAGAAATATGTCCAGTGTGATGCAGAATGCAGCTGAGGTTGCATAGAGTGAAATGCAGACTTACTGGTTACATTGCACATGCGAACATAACAGTGATGAGTGTCACGTATGAGGGGTCTATCAACTAGGAGTCAAAGTTTCACATGAAAACAGGTTATTAATTAAAAGTAATAAAAAATGTCACACTTCTCCCAGCATAGGATTCTCTAAAAATATGTTTTACTGTCTGTTTTCCCTGCAGTGTTTAATGATGGAGATGAGAAGACACTAAAGAGGTCATCCCTGTTTCTGTGACAAGAACAACTCTTCAGGGGTGTGATATTGAGGTGTGCGAAATAGGAAAAGTCATTAAATTCCTTTTTGTAAATGCAGTAGCTACCATAGCTTTTGTTACAGCACTGTAGACTGGTTGCTTTCTTTTCCTATTGCACCAATCTGCAGCACTGAAATCAGGAACCTTACAGGTTATAACAAGTGGATCTCAGACTTTATTTCTCTTAATAAAAAGTTTATCAGAAAAGAAAACACATGTAGAAGTAAACGTGGGATTTGATTGAGAACTAGAGGTAAGAAAGGACAAAAAAGGAGGGCTGTACGTCATTTTGCCTCAAAGGGAATTTTCAAAGCTACCATATATTCAACAAATTGAAAATTAAATCTCAACTGAGTAGAACTGGTCCTAGCAAATTGAAAGGATAGCATGATGTAAATATGACAAAAATACTGTGGCTTTTTCTGTTTTTTAATCATTTTCATTTTTGTGGTTTTTTTTCAGAGGCTGGTTCTGCTGTCCAACTTCTGCTCTCTCATCATGCGAGAAGTCATAAGCAGGAAGAGAATCAGTAGACATGGCGTTCAGTCATTGGGAAGGGACTACAAACAGATATATGAAACAAAAGTGTGATTCTACTGGTGTGATGGAATCTGCCCTGAACTGTCTGTCTTGAGAGTTACCAACATTCAGTTACTTTGGATAAATCTAGTATAGTACAAGTCAAATTTGGTGTTTGTGGCAAGAAATTCAGGATATTTGTGAATTCTTTCAATTCGTGATGGTTTATCTAGGGGGATCGAAAGTAAAATCTTTCAGATACCGTATATAATAGTTATGATCAATGCATATGTGCCATCGTGGATGCGTGCACGTGCAGTTTTTCACAGGTGGAACTTTTCAAGCCTGAGGGAAAAACTATGTGACATCTCTGAAATTCTTAAGCTCAATTTGCCATGATAATATGATTAAGCCTCACTTCACATATCTAACTAGATGTACATGTGCAGGATGTAACCTATTTACATTCACAACGTTTTCTTGTGAAAGTTCAGGACAACAAATACATGTCGTCATTCTGTAGCCACACTGAATCACATGAGTCACTCAAGCATTGGCTAGATTGACACCAACATTTCTGTGACTAGAGATGGACAGGTCTGTTTCCAGAAACAGTATGTGTTGCAGAGTATCACATAAATCTGTCCTTTAAAACCTAAGGGAGACACCATTCAACCTGAGATGAATCGTTTGGGACCTTTGTTATTCAAATTCAAAGTTTTTGTAAATATTTATCTTTTTTTTGTTATTGGCTTTGCTTTGTATTATTTATTGTATTTCACTGATATGCATGAGGTTTGTTTCATTCCAAGGTGTTGTATAGTGTTCGCAATCAAGGAGTGTAACCCGGATCTCCATGTTTGGCAATTCACTGTCGCATGGTGACCTAACAGACACGCTAGATTTGTTGGTATTAACATGTATCGAATATTTACATCTTGGTTTCTTCAAACTTAAAAACTGAAGTTCAGACATGACACCATTTATCGGGCACTGTGTTTACTTTCAAAGATATTGTTTCATTAGACCCCTAAATAGAAGTCTCTGCCATTGTTCAGTGGAGATGGCTGTGAGATGCTTAATGTTGCACCTGGGTCAGCCATCAGCAGCACATATTGAAGATTATTAACCAGTGCATTTTTGGCAAAATGCATAGCAAATGCAAACCTATGTAATACCGATTTCCTTCCATCTGTCCGGCCATTTGCATTTCACAAGTTTTTTAATCTCTGTATATTGGTAATAATAATGTCCTAATTATTTGTTTCNTGTGTGATTTTTTTACCAATACCAGAGCCTTACGTAGGATTATTGCCCAGAAACTTAAGGGCATTTTACATATTCATGGAGGAAATTGAAACTCCAAATTTTGAAGTTTTTCGTTGAACATGTATTACATGTACATGTACCTTGAACATGTATTTTGTGTGCGCAGTATTCACACATAAAGGCTTTTGTTCAGAAATTAAACAATCATTCCCATCTGTGGCAGGCCTAACCCTTGGATGTGGTGGATTGGGTGAGACCATTGGGGCTGGGGGGTATGAGTGGATGATATGGACGTCATGGAATGGGGATTTGATGGGATGGGATAAGATGGGCCTTTGGTGGGGTGAGTTAGGGATTTGTTGTTATGAGATGAGGATTTATCAAATGGTTGGATAAATACCATTTGTATTTTATGTAATATGTGTATATAGAACATGTACTGTGTGCATGCACACAGGTATTTCATCTTTTAGAATCAGATTGCCCCCATAAACTGTTAACAGTCTATCATACCATCTTGTCCACATTGATAAACAAGGTTTTCTACAAGAATATATTTTTGTTTAAGTTTTAACAATTTTTATGTAATGAGTACGTATTTTTCCAAACCTATGTTTTGACATTCACGCTTTAAAAAGAAATGAACAGAAAATGTTTTTGGAGAATATGGAACACTTCACAATTACAGTAAAAAAAAAAAAAACAATACGTGGATTGGATGTAGTTAAATCCATGAAGTTCTGTACTCGACACCATGAGTATAATAAATTCAGTGAAGGAAAAGGTTGTTCACATCCTCTTTGTTTTCAAGTGATCGTGTTTATGCAAAGGCATAATGGCCCCACGTTTTATCGTTTCCAGCGATGAAGTTCTTGCAATCATTCTAGGGATTCACAATAAATAAGAGACGCAGACGTGTTTTTTCCCGAAGGATACCTGAATAAATCAAAGTAGAAACGATTGATGCCCCTTTTTTTCCTTGGAGACACTGTCATGATTTTTTAGTTTGATGAATACTTCAAACAATTTAATTCCTTCCATCATGGTACTATTTTCACGCTTACTTTCGATTAATTATATAATTGTCGAAGGGAAAGAAATGTGATGATGCATCTTTCCTGGTTCATTCATTCGAGGCCCTTACCTTAAAGGGTCCGCACCCCCCCCGTCTCGTCTGTTTTATTTTACCTGCAATTCACGCTACATGTACATCCCCCTCATATTTTAGACAATTTGGTATTTATCGGAAGGAACCTACCATCCCGGAATCCCAGAACAATGGACAATTTGTGGGGAGTGATACAGATGGCACCTGCAGCATTCTCGGTTGCCTGGTGATTTCCAACTGAACCGCCAACAGATACTCAAAAAGAAGACAAGGAATTGTCAGATTGACATTTGATAAGTGTATCCGGGGTCAAAGTCATGCCATCGAGATCACGTCAATGCATGTACTGTCTCATCATGGTCTCATCAATGATTCTAGCACTACTGAAAATGTTATGACAGTTTTTGATCAAAGTAATGTCGAACTATGTAGGCCTAATTTGAGGTCAAATTTAACGGCTACATGTTTCTCCTGTTAGATTTGTTCAGTGTATACATGTTGATATTGAAGGAAATACATTTTCTACAATCATAAAGATGTGCATAAAGTAGGTTTTGCAAAAGTTAATAAATTTCACAGGAGTGCAGTCTATGAAACTGTGGCACGCGAGCTGTGGCGTGGATGAGCAACTTACGCGCAAGCGCGAGGTGTAAATCGCTGATTGGTTTATTACTTGACAAGCAATGGGGTGGCACTTCAGCCGGTGGTCTTTTTTTAATCGTAAATTCACTGGTTAATAATAGAATGATCCGCCAAATCATGACGCTATAACCTGACATGAACAGAACTGAAGAAAACCGAAGCTGCGTCGAGGATCCTGAAGTCCTTCTAACACAAAGACAGTCGATAAACCAACTTTCAAGAACTAAAGACATTCAGAAATCTTTTCAGGAAAAAAAAACGGCTCAGCTTTGAAAGGATTTTCATCTGATGTCGCGCGATGAAGGTCCACAAGACTGTCATCGTTCTTCTCATCTTGTGTCTCCTAATCCCCAGCCCCTCTGGTACGTACGAGGATTTAGTATCTTCGGTAATAGAGCCTAATAAAAGACAGTGTGACCAGATTTCTGTTCATTTATTTAAGACGTCACTGTTTTTATCATTCTACCGGCTGTTTATTAAAACACATTGGTTGCAAATGAATGAGTCTAAAATTGCTGTCACTGAAATCTGGGAAGAACTTTTCTGTTAAAAATACACACAGGTAGTTTTTCCGGTGCCTGTGTTTTGTCTTGATTGGAAAGGTGTAATCACTCTATAGACCTATAGCCAAGATACACACGAGGCAGTTGGTTGTAAGGCCTGATACCAAAGTTGGAACTAACTAATGGCAGTTGCTTCTGCACTAAAAGGAATAAAAATGAGATGAACACTAACCAGTCAGCGTTGTATAGGTGTTTTGTACGCTAGTTACAAGGCAAATGCACGATTTTACTCACGCTGTGCATGTGCAGATTCAGAACCGATCTTTTTGTGGGGAGGGGCACATATTTGGGGGGGGCAATTTTTATATTTTTGTGTAACGTTTTAGGTCCTTTTAAATAGCTGAGACTGCATTCTAGTCCAGGCTTTGGGAAGCAAGAGAAAGGAAACAGACACAAATCGCATTTCTCTCATAGTTTTGGATTTTTCTCCTTTCCCCTGGGTCCGCTATGTCCCGTACGTGTTACATCACAGGTTTTCAAGTTGAAGACGCACGAGTCCCTGTGCATTTCGTTAATTCTGAAAGTGTTTGTTTTGGGTTTTTGGGGTTGTTTGTTTGTTTGTTTGTTTTTGTTTTTAATTCATTCGCATTACATGTAAATAATGAACCGTTGAAGGTCACGAACCGGTTTAACCTTATAGTCTGCACCCTCTCGGCAACAGCTCAGTCGAGGCGATCACATTTCAAAAGTTGGGGGCGAAATTATAGTCGGCCTGTGTTGGGCAAAGCCAGTGAAATGGAGAATAAGTGTGAAATTAAACTTGTGTTTGGAGCTAAAAATCTGATTTTTGTCTATACCACTGTCACCGTTGGACTGATGGAAATGCGGTTCCTCAAGGGACCTGAATAATTAACTGTTCGGGGTTGTAAATTTTTTTTCCGTTTGTTTCCCTTGTGAAAACGGCCGTGGGGTGCCTGTTCAACTAGGACTTTATTTTAAATTTATACACATAGGGACACTGCCGATGTTAAGGAAACTGGTGGTTGAAATCAGCTAAATGATAAGTACTGGAATTTAATGCGAAAACGAATACTTCCAACGTTACGACCATATTTTCTGCGTACGGTATCCGAATAGTGGATCATGACCGATGGAGCCATGAAAAAGGATGCTGGAATGGAATTATAAGATTCCGAAATGTCCAACCTCCCCTAGGGCCGGAGGACAGGGTACTATTTGAAATAAGAAGGACGCATATAACAGGAGGGCGTTACTTGAAGCACGGAGGAAGGACACAGTAGGTAAATTCTGAGTAAACACAAACAATATTACACAGAATGTCCGTGCTGTGATTGCGACTTCACCCAAACCAAAACAGCGCCCTCCTTTTATGCCGTTATGCGTACTTGTGATACGTTGTCGGCGCCAATATGACTTTCTGAAAACCGTGATCTTGAAATGCACGTGCCTGCCCATGTGTCGCAGGCACATTACATGTACATTTACATGGTCATATCATAGCAGGGAAACGAGCCAGAGACGTGCTTCGAAGCTGACAAACCAAGAGGCGTTGTACGGCCGTGATTGACTCCAACTGCGGTCAGCTTGGTGTGTTACGTACACAATACATTCAGCCAAACGCAGGCGTCTTGTTCGCGATGCATATAAACCATGTGCGACTGCAAGTCGTTTAGTGCGATGTGAAGGCTCCATGGTCATACCTAACCAAGGTCCACCGTGATCGATGATGGACAACTTGATGTTGTTGAATGTTTACAAGGACCTCACTGATCAACATTACTCAACTCTTTGTTGCTGGTTCTGAACTGCTATGCTTAGGCCTACACCTTCTGGTGGTATAGGCCCTAGATTCAATTGTTTGTCACGTATGATGAAAACTGTGCGTGATATCCATCATGCAAAGAGTTCCATATACAGACAACAGGCTTAAACTGTTATTAAATAGCTGTCAAAAAGTGATAACATGTCCCAAGGTGAAATATAACTGAGAAAATTCCGAAAAATTTACTTAAAAAAACCTTGAGACAAGTCTCATCTCATAGGTTTTTGCAGGGGCATCAAAAGTGTTGTCCATATATGGAACTCTTTCCTCCATGATAATGTTTTTAAACCGCATGAGGCATAAAGCCAGATGTGTGAAGACACGAATCTTGTACGAAAAATATTTCAAACGTTTCCAGAAAACACTTTGAAAATGCACTGAACTCTTTGTACACAACCAACTATGGGGAGTCAGGATGCTGCAGGTTTTCCACTGTACGTACCACTCAAAATTTGCTTCCACAGCCTATGGGCCTGACCTTTGTGTAGACTAGACTGAGTATAACCACATGGATCCAGCATACCACTTACCAAAACACTGAAATGGAAGCAATCTTCACTTGACTTGTAGGACCCTATTCTGCTATTATTGTAAAACTAAATGGAAAAATTTGTGGTCTGAACAACTAGCATGACGAAGACTCTAGAGATTGCCTTGTTAATTTTAATACTTCATTTTTCCCAAGTCAAATAACTCAAGCCTTATGGTCATGTCTTACATCTGAAAATTCTCAATTAGGAATTACCCAGAACACTGTTGGCTTGAGTTCAAGAGCTATAGTTGTCTTGAGTCCCAGTCTCTTGGACAGCAAACTTTGTAAGAGTTGTACAATAGGACCCTCCCTAAATTCTTCATTTTGCAATTCTTTATTTTTGTAGCAAGACTTCCCAAAGAGAATTTTCGACTGATACACACTTTGTAAGAAGTTAAGAAATTAACATGTTGATGAGTGGAACAGAAATTCAGAGGTTTCCTGTCAAGGATTTGATGGAACTTAAAGGAAGTGATCCCAGGGCTCTTTTACTTGCCCAGTAAGCTGGTATGACTTTCTGCCATTTTTGTCTCACAGAATGCTGGAGAAGACGACGAAGGCGATCTCCACCACCCCCACCCCCGGCCCCAGGTAGGTAAATCAGCAAATATCCCAACTTCACTCAAGCCTGTGGTTCCCTAGTAGATGGATCAACTCTTATCACATTTGGGGAATTTGTGCATTTATTTCACCTCAAGCTTTTGGCTTAGTTCCCAACATGGCGGCTTTAGCCTCTATACAACTGTGTTGACCTTTAGTCAAAGCACAATTACAAGGTTGAAGAATTTGCTGGCAAAAACCGCCCCAGTTGCTTTTCAGGTAAGAAAATCTGATGTTAACTGGTTACATAATTGGCTTGAATGATGAGTTGTTTGTTTGGACTATCTAAATGACCATTTGGAACCAGCCGTGGTTTGACGTCTCTGCTGGGTGCCAGTAGTCAATGCCATGTATCAGTTTAATTGGAGGGAACCATTTTCATTGAAAAGAATTGCACGAGATGTCAGCGATGTAGGTCTTGCAGAAACAAGAATTCTCACTAAGACAAAACTCGCTCTTTCATTTCTACAAAAGGTTTTTATGCAGCTGTTCCTAACCTTTGGAATAATCTTCTTCCTGAGATCCGTCACACAACTTCCCACACCAAATTCAAAGCATTGCTTTGAACTCATCTTTCCATGCATCTTTAGCCTAATATTTCAATATTTTCTCATTCTGTATTTCTTTATTTTAGGTGCAAAATGTTGTGAGACCAGTTTGTGTAAGAACACCATATAATTGCCCAAATTATTGGCTCTACGCTATGCAGAAAAGGCTTGGTTTTTCTACTTATCTTTCTTTTTCTTTTTAATAATCTTTTTCTCTTGTTCTTCCAGCACTTTTTCTCTGAGTTTCTCGTCACCTCTTTTGGCATGGAACCTAAGCCATTCTGGCGTCATCCCATTCATTCGTTGGCTTCTTCATGAAGAGAATACCGAAAATGAAATGAAATATATAGTTTGCTATGCATACTCTCCTGGCTCTTTCAGTTAAGTTGACTACTCAAAGGCTTGTCTGCTTTTATTTATTTCAATAGAATTTACCGTCTGCCCCAGTAGTAAAGAAGTAACAACGGATAAGGCTGATGGCAAAGAGATAGTCCATTACACCTCACCAAGAGCAACTGGCACTGGAGTAGTTGTAAGGTATAGTATGAATAAAAATGAACGACTTGTGGATATACTGAAGTGGACTGTGAACTTACCAGTCATAGATACAGCGGTGTGGCTAAGGGAGAAGGGGTAAGGGACACGCCCCCCATGAAAAATCGTCACTCCCCCCCACTTGCATATCCTCATGAGATCTTGATTGCGTACATGTGTTTGTCCAACATCCAGTCAGGTCCCCTCACCATTCGTTCCTCCTTCCCACATGCTCAGAATCCTGGCTACGCTGTTGCATTGACATGATTTACTCTTGTGAATATATGCCATGTCAATGTTTTGTGCGAATAAAAATAAAAAAAACACAGGCAGTTCATAAAGCAGGATTGCAAATACCGAAGAAATAATTGACTTTTCAGCACCCCCCACACATGACGTGTATCCCTCATGTGTTAGAAGTAATAAACTTCCACATGTGACAGGAAATATGTCGTAACAATTTCAGTGTATAATAGATGGTTCTGGTATGTATTTTTTATGACTTGTAGAAAGTGCATGAATTCCATTTGGGTTCATCAACCTGAATGTTATTACTGTTCGTACGGTATGTACATATTGCCTTGGACCTCCTCCATGTATTAAAGTGTGTACAATGTCAAAGACTTCAGACTTCAAATTGAATCTTGGGATCATAAAGAACACTGGGGAATAGACACAGAATTCATTGTCCTTCTTTTCTTGGTTGTAAGATAATGAGGGAATGACTTCTCAAATTTGCAGGCGAACCTGTGGTCTTCCAACCGGCAGTAAATTTCCTGAAGGAACCACCCTTGTATATTATGAAGCCAAAGACTCCTATAACCGGCTCGCAATCTGTAGATTTGACATCAGAGTTAAAGGTAAATTTAAAGACTGTTGTTACTTAAAAACAGATTCATTTATTCCATTTTTTTAAATGCCAAACAGCTTTTTCCATGTTTGTTTTGTTTTAATCAATTTCAACCCACTGCAACAAGTTAAGAACTGTCAGCAGATAGAGTTGTGTGGTCATGCAGATAAGATCCCATTTCCATTGCTTTCACTGTGTAAAACACACTTCATGACAGCTCTGCAAGAAGTGGTATTTTTCTTCAATGGATGTGTGGTCCTGTATATTGTCTGCACTTCTTACTCTGACAATATAGAAGAATTTTCATTTTTACAAAGATTTGAAAGCGTATGACCAACTTACAGTTTGGAGAAAAATACATTGAAAAGGTTGGCATAGACTTTACTGAAAGTCAAACAGTGTGTGTATTACAAAGCAACAAAAACCTTTGAACTTAAAATTATGAAATAAAGACAAGTTTCAATTCATAAAAATAAACATATACAGTGTGTTTGATCACTATTGTTGCCTTTACCCATGATGCCATCATAGGTTTAGACGAGCATGTGCAATATATGGTTATACATAAATAATCTCAGGTTACTCACAGTGCCTGACCAGGTTAAGAGGTCATTCATCATATGTAACAATTTCTTGTGATGCAAAATAAAGAGAGACAAAACATGTACACAGTATTAGAAAGGTCATTTACACTTGCTGTCCTTTGATGGTTTTTCAGTTCTTCGCTGTGCTAGTGTTCCAGCAGCACACCATCGCTGGCATTCATGCAGTAAAAGCAATATTGCTGGCTCACGCTGCGAATTCTATTGTTCAACTGGGTACAAACTCGTTGGGTCGTCCTTGCCATCACTCTGCAGACATTCCGACCTTAAGTGGTCATTGGCATTCCCAACTTGCCAAGGTGGGTCCAACTCTAGCCAAGTTCGAGATATAAAAAGTCTGTTAATTTGGAAAGACTGAAGCTGGCATCAGTAGGATCTTAAATTTATTTATGACAGTGTTACAATCAAATTGTATCACTAGTTAATTGTGGGCAAATTTATGATTCCAGACATATTGACAGACGATGGATATTTATAAGAAAAAAATACTGTTACAACACTCCATTTGAATTTATAACGTGTTCCTGTTGAGGCTATGTGATTTGTTAGACTCATGAACTTGACTTTACCCCAGTTTTATACTAGAACCATTCAGTTGGGAACGCAATCTAAACAGACCTGTTTTAAAGACATTCAAAAGGACGATTTTTCTGGAATTGATAAAATTTAAACGCCACATGGAGATTTAGAATAAGCACCCATGCATTAGTTTGACAACTATTTGAAATGAAATTGCAGTCGTAATTGTACTGCAATTTTTTTTTGCATCCCATTCAACAGTGAAGACCTGCAGTCCTTTGCCACCTTTTCCCAATGGAAATATTGCTTGCTCTGACTCAAACCGATACAACAGCGTCTGTACCTACGACTGTAACAGTGGCTTTGGGTTCACACCGGGAGACATATTGACTCGTACCTGTCGAGAAACCTGGTCTGGGTCAACACCAACATGCATTGGTGAGTTCATAATGATTTGACTCAAAATGTAATCCACAGGAACCTAAAAGGAACATTACCATTTAATTGGAGAGGTACATAACGAACAGTAGTTCTAGACCCAGGAAAATTGGGATTCAAGAAATAAACCAATTGTTTTTTGGAGTTCCCAGTGCGTTGTATACAATAGAATGAAATACTCCTCTTTATCAGATGTCAGAGGGGAGACTGTTAGGGCGGGAGTTCGACAAAATAAAGATTTTTCCCCCTGAATATCATAATCCATGGAAAAAATGGCATTGCCTGTAATAAGCACATGCGTAATTTTGATGAGAAGCAAGGAATAGTAATTAACTGAAAGAAAATACCTTGCTCTGTGCCAAAAAGAGGAACTTCCTTAAAATTTCCTCAATGTATGCACTGATGTTATGGCCAAAAGGCTTAACCACTTGCTGCCGGATGGATTTTTCTCAAGCAAGACAAGATGCCGGGTCCTTTTCAAGATTTTCCATTTTAAAAATTCTTCAAAAATTCATCATTTCATTTCATGGCCGTTTATACCTACATGAAGGACTCTTTGGGCACTACTCTAAAACTGACAGTTAACCTTCATTGACTTTTGAATATTTTAGCCAGGCCTGCAGCTTTGGGAAAAAGAGCCCAGATTGTGCAGTGTTACGTACGATTCTTTTGTTCCCGAAACCGGCACAGTGTACTGCTGACCTCTTTTAAATAGGGGCCAGATTAGCACACCAGATTGGTGCTGTGTGGCTCATCGCTACGGTTGTGGAGAGCTTTTGTCCCTGGTGGTAATCCGCTTGCTCTAAATGCCTCAAACCGTGGTATACTGTTTCAAAACAAGGCTGGATTATCTCCACTATTGAGAGCGAAAAAATGTTGGTAATGCCCAGCAGCTTAGTCTTTTGTGCTGAGCACGGTCTTTTGTTATAAGGCCCAACTCTTTTGTCCCAGTTCTGGGCTCCCTCGCTCTGCATATAAAGCCTTTGTACTCGACAACGGGTCACCCGGCAGGAAGTGGTTAAAGTTGCCTGGCACCATTTAGGACCATAACAACAGCAGCTGATAAATGAAATTAATTTCAAGTGACAACTCTCAAAACAAGACAATAAAATATCCCAAAAGAGGCAATAGAAATACAACCCGGCAGGTATGCTGATCTTAGCTTTGTGAGCAGACTGGGCAAGATTGAATGTTCTTTAGCCCCCAGCGTTTGTAAGTCGTAATCTGCCCAAGGTACCTGCTCCAATTTGGTAGCACCACTGATGCCTGCTGCAGCCTCTTATTTCATATCTCAAAATGGACTAATTAAGTAACGAAAGCCTACTAATTTCAAACTTTCCTGAAATAACAAATTAAGAAAGACACCACAACTTTCCAAAGCCTTCGAGTTTTACTGCAAGCTGTTGTAAATTTGTGGGTTCTCAAGTTTTTCCTGGGCCCTGGGCGAAGTGGAAAATGCTCATATTGGCTTGTCCTTTCCTGATGAGCAGAAGATAAGATACAACAGGGCCAACAAGTAGCAATGCCAATCAAGCTTAGCTTTAGTCAACTCTAGCAATGAAGAACTTCAAAGTTTATTTTCTCTCGTTCTTTTAGATGTCCAGCATCCAGTCTTTCTCAGTTGCCCTCGTCCCATACCAAAAGAGGCAGATGATGCATTGACTAGTGCAGAAGTGTGCTGGCAAGCACCAAAAGCTGATGACAATGTGCCAAGTGGATTGACCGTAACTCAGATACTAGGATTACCCCCATGTAGCCGATTCAGTCAAGGAACTCATACTATCAAGTATCAGGCCCGAGATGCCCAAGGCAATACAGCTGATTGTGTCTTCAGTGTTACAGTCAGGGGTGAGTTCTGATATTGTCCAGCCAATAAATGAACCTGATAAAAAAACCTGGGAAGATAAGTCTTTGTCCTCTTGTAACGAGCATAGTGAATTCCTTAAGTGCAAGCCCCTTTCATTTGTACCATGGGCTATGTGATCTGGTGACTAGAACTAGAAATCATTACTGTGGGCCATCCTGTTTGCACTCATTAGTTGTACCTACACATTTTATTCCTCTCCAACCGATAGTAGTATCATGACTTGCCAAAACACCTGTGTGAGTGTGGTGGCCCAGCCACCATGCAGTAATGGCATCTCATCAGATAAGATGGAAGTGAAACAGTGTAACTCCTGTGGTCATGAGTGATAGCAGTTCATGTCAGTGGGAGCACGGGTCATAGGAATTGTGACAGCTAGGAAAACAGTAGCAGTGGTGGTAAGAGGAGATGGCTCACTTTTAGCAGCAAAAACAGGGCAGTGACAATTAAGCAGCAGTTGTGGAAGATATCGGCAACAGGATTAGATGGAAAATATAATTGTGGGGAAAAGGCAACAGCTATGACAAAAATAGTTGAAGTATTACCAAGGGTGAGATTAGAGCCAAAGAGAGGGGGTGATGGAACATGTTGGAAAAGGATGGTGACAACGCAGCATTGTCTACTCTTCTGCCACTTAGTCCCTCAAATGCCTTGCCTCCTCTCACCATTAATGCTGCTTGGTTTCAAATCCACTGCCTTAATCTGCTCACTTCTCAGAGGTGCAGCTTTCTTATGATAGTAACCTAAAGAATCAAAATGTCAAAGTGCATTCAAAAATTTCAATGATATCTTAACCCCACCAGTGAAATCAAAGGGGTATAATGCCATGTTTGCCCTGTCTGTCCATCTGTTAGGCTGTCCATCCATAACCTCCCATAGGATTCCTTGCCATAACCTGATATCAAAAGTAATGATGGGCTTGTCTTGGTGTCCTCAAGAAGGTCAAGAAGGGATCTTGATCTTTAGGTCAAAGATCAAGATAATTCAATGTGGACTGGCAATATATTGTAAAAACAATTGAAACAATTTTCTGATTTCTCAAGACACAAATTAATGTCATGATTTGAAGTGAGCGGACTTAGGCATTTGTGTATATTAACTCATCATTATTTTTTCCATTGCAGTTATAACTTGCAGTGGATTAGAACCCAAAGTTGGGTTGATAATTGACTGTCCCAGTGGTCACATCAAGGGAGCATCCTGTACCTTTCAGTGTGACGTAGGATATCGACGACTTGGAGGAAATAGTGCCACTTGTCTGTCGAGTGGATCATGGAGCTCTCCCCAGCCAACGTGTGAAAGTAAGAGGCAAAGATAACCAATTTCTGGCTGACCTGTTTTTTCAATCTTGCACTCTCCTTATTACTTGGTAATGATGTTGGCACTTGCATGAGCACCAGTTACAATGACTTTGTATTCTCCATCAGTACACAAAATCATTGTTAGTTTATTTCTGTATTCCTTGTAATTTTAGTCTTCTTGTTGGCAACAGTGAAGAACTTGAAGATCTTAAAAATACTGTACATATATATCCTGCATTCAGCCGACACCGGCAAGCTTGATGGAGGTTAAGACGTCTGCGGTAGTAAGCAGGAGGTCGTGGGTTCGAGTCCCACCCGAGTACGCTTGTCGGTTTTTCACAAGCCTTCAGGGGTATACACTGAGTATACAGTGTTTAAATACATGTCGGGTGGGGCAAATCCAAAATTAATGTAAAGATGTTTATTGCTACTAATTTTTACAATGACTTTACCTGTGTTTCTGTCTTGGAAATACTTCATGTGTTACATCCCCCTGAGTTTGATATTCATTGCATTTTGATGTACATATATGTTATATCTTCTTATGTGTATAAATGAGTGTGGTAGATTAATTATCTGTTGTTTTTTTAACTCTGGAGTTTGATGTTTAATCTGATAATGCTGCCCAATCATCATCTTTCTGGTTAGCGTTATACTCTTTTGCATGTAGTAATATCAACACCCAAATGATTTTCTTTCTGCATATTTTCTTTCCTTGGCTTCCAGTTCTGAGATGTCAGAAACTAGATCCTCCGGCCCACGGAGACTTCCGGGATTCTCGGCCCTGTGGTGACACCTTTGGCTCTTGGTGTTATTTTGATTGTGATGTTGGGTACAGCATCACTGGTAGCCCGGCGAGACTCTGTGTTGCTGAGAGAGGAGGGACCGGTGCATTCTGGGATGGCACTGTAACGGAGTGCCAACGTAAGGCAATCACAGTTTTCGGAGTTTATGGACCACTATATGTTAATAACCTGCTCTGTGAAATATTGATGTTATCATCTTATTTGCATTAAGCTTCAGTCGTTGTTATCACACACTCATAAATTTAAGTACTTGTACTGAAATATCTGAAACGGCTTTTCAATTAGCTTGGACTGAAGTTCTAAGCCAAAGTACCTTTGAATTCAATGTCAAATCTCTCAAACCTGTTTAAAAAATCAGCTACTTCGAATCAACTTTTGCTGAAATTGAATTGATGAGTTTCATTCTGTTAAACTGTTACATTTGTATTCAGACTTGTGCTTCAATATCAAAGCATTCATTGTTTCACTTCTGCAGCTGACACCTGCCAGGTGCCACAACCAGGCCCTGGTTTGCTCCCAAACCAACCTGATCAATGCCCCGCTGGGACGGAGGTGGTGTATAACACTGTCTGTCGCTACAAGTGTAGTGAGGGGTATTCATTGCAAGGTGGATCGTCAATGATATGTGGTGAAGATGGACAATGGAAACAGACACTGCCTCAGTGCACAGGTAAAAATGTGCCGTAACAGATATTGCAGATCTCGTAATGAAGTTGGATTGCTTCTACTGCTGCACCTTGTTATTC